CGCCGTCGCTGACGGCTGGCGTGGTGACCCCGGCGGCGGCGGCGACGCTCGCGCAGCTCTCGTCGACGATCGCCTTCGAGGCTGCGGCCGTCGTCGACGCAAAGAGGGTGGCCGGCCTGACGATGCGCCAGGTGAAGGCGGGAGTGCAGGTCGGCGACTACCTCGCCTAGGTCGCGGGCCGGGCGCCCCCCGAGAGCGCCGAGGCAGCCGCCCGGCTGCCGTTGGCGGTGCGCGCCCTGGTCGCGAGCGCCGGCGCGAGAGAGTGGCGCGGCGGCGCGGCCAGGTGATTCTTCCAGGCGTCGAAGCCCTGGCGTCGTCCTGGCGCGCGGCGCTGGCCGCTCGTGGTGCGCGGCGCCGACCACTGGGGCGGCCTGAGCGGGGGGCGCCTGGACCGGCTCGGCAGCGTGGGTGTGCCAAGCCCCCGAGCCTGGGACAGGTGGCGGCAGTCCTGCTCAAGCGAGGGTGCGCCGTAGAGCCCCCCCCCAAAAAACAAAAAGTAGTGGTAGTAGTAGTAGTAGTAGTAGTAGTAGTAGTAGTAGTAGTAGTAGTAGTAGTAGTAGTAGTAGTAGTAGTAGTAGTAGTAGTACGAGTAGTAGTAGTAGTAGTATTAGTAGTAGTAGTAGTAGTAGTAGTACGAGTAGTAGTAGTAGTAGTAGTATTAGTAGTAGTAGTAGTAGTAGTAGTAGTAGTAGTAGTAGTAGTAGTAGTAGTAGTATTAGTAGTAGTAGTAGTCGTAGTAGTAGTATTAGTAGTAGTAGTAGTAGTAGTAGTCGTGGTAATTGTGGTTGTCGCGGAAGTAGAAGAAGTAGTGGTCGTAGCAGTAGTAGTAGTAGTAACTAGTAGTAGTAGTAGTAGTAGTAGTAGTAGTAGTAGTAGTAGTAGTGTAGTAGTAGTAGTAGTAGTAGTAGTAGTAGTAGTAGTAGTAGTAGTAGTAGTAGTAGTAGTAGTAGTAGTAGTAGTAGTAGTAGTAGTAGTAGTAGTAGTAGTAGTAGTAGTAGTAGTAGTAGTAATGATAGTAGTAGTCGTCGTAGTTGTTGTTGTAGGCGTCGTCGCTGTAGTAGTAGTCGTAGTAGTAGTAGTAGTATTAGTAGTAAGAAAGTAGTAGTAAGTATCGTAGTCGTAGTAGTAGTAGTAGTTAGTAGTAGTAGTAAGTAGTAGTAGTAGTAGTAGTTGTTGTTGTAGTTGTTGTTGTAGTTGTAGTTCTATTTGTAGTAAGTCGTAGTAGTAGTAGTAGTAGTAGTAGTAGTAGTAGTAGTAGTAGTAGTAGTAGTGTAGTAGTAGTAGTAGTAGTAGTAGTAGTAGTAGTAGTAGTAGTTGTAGTAGTAGTAGTCGTAGTAGCAGTAGTAGTACGTAGTAGTAGTAGTAGTAGTAGCAGTAGTAGTAGTAGTAGTAGTAGTAGTAGTAGTAGTAGTAGTAGAGTAGTAGTAGTAGTAGTAGTAGTAGTAGTAGTATAGTATAGTAGTAGTAGTAGTAGTTAGTAGTAGTAGTAGTAGTAGTAGTAGTAGTAGTAGTAGTGTAGTAGTAGTAGTAGTAGTAGTAGTAGTAGTAGTAGTAGTAGTAGTAGTGGTAGTAGTACTAGTAGTAGTAGTAGTAGTCGTAGTAGTAGTATAGTAGTAGTAGTAGTAGTAGTAGTAGTAGTCGTAAGCAGTAGTAGTAGTAGTAGTAGTAGTAGTAGTAGTGGTAGTAGTAGTAATAGTGGTAGTAGTAGTAGTAGTAGTAGTAGTAGTAGGCGTAGTAGAAGTAGTAGTAGTAGTATTCATAGTAGTAGTAGCAGTAGTAGTAGTTGTTGCAGTAGTAGTAGTAGCATTAGTAGTAGTAGGAGTAGTAGTAGTAGTAGTAGTAGTAGTAGTAGTCGGAGTAATAGTCGTAGTATTATTAGTAGTAGTCGTAGTAGTAGTAGTAGTAGTAGTAGTAGTAGTAGTAGTAGTAGTAGTAGTAGTAGTAGTAGTAGTAGTAGTAGTAGTGGTTGTAGCAGTCGTAGTATTCAGTAGTTGTAGTATTAGTAGTAGTAGTAGCAGTAGTAGTAGTAGTAGTAGTAGTAGTAGTAGTAGTAGTAGTAGAAGTAGTAGTAGTAGTAGTAGTAGTAGTAGTAGTAGTAGTAATCGTGATAGTCGTAGTAGTGGTAGTAGTAGTCGTGCTAGTAATCATTTCAATTCCAAGACTAATAATGATGGTAGTAAGGAAGGTTACCCATGTTGATAGTACGAGTAGGACTATTACCGCTAATATTCGCATTCATATTAGCTAGCAGCAATCTTACCAACTACAATGTGAATATGCATACGACGACTACAATGAATCATATTATCACCAGACAAATAGCAACAACAATGACAACAGTATGAATGTACGAATGCCAATACTCAAACGACAAAGAAGAGGAAGATGTGTTAGTGGGGGTGTAGGTGTCGTTTACCACCATTGCCACCATTGGCGATATCGCCGCTCATTGATTTGGGCAGAACAGTTGCGCGGGACACCGGCTTCAGCCCAATGTCGCCAGCTTCACAGGAGGCGCTTATATGCCACCACCGTGCATGGCCAGGGTCACCCTGGACCCCAGGATGGCTGCATATACGTCCTGACCTCTGCCAGGAAGGCGCGTGCGCCATGCCGTGACCCAGGATTGTCCTGGCCAGACACGGTGGCGGTTTGTACACGCGCTATCCGCATCCATAAACTTCCCGCTTCCCGCCCCGCGCCGCCAAGTGCGCATGCTGGCTTCAGCCCCGCACCGCCCAGGTCGGCTATGCGTAACAGTGGTCCTTCGCCAGAGTGACCTGTGGTGCGCGTCTTTCTGGCCGCCGTTGCCGCGTCGGCACGGTGCGGTCGGAAAGCCGCACACGCACGCCACGGGTCACTCTGTGCTTCGGGTCCCTTGTGCGTGTAGCCGCCCAGGCCCCGTCCCAGCACCGCGTCTTGTCGCCCGTGCGAAATTCGCCACAAAGGAAAAGGGGTCCTCAAGTCAAAGTGGTCCTCAAGTCAAAGTGGTCCCAAAGGTTCTCCGCCGTTCTTGGCCTTCAAGAGCCCCCCGCGGGCCATGAGGCCGTCAGGCAACGGCTCGGGATGAAGAGTCCGACTCGTCTCGGGGAACGCCCTGGGGTCTAGGACCCGTGCCCCTCGGGACCCCTCTGACCCTCACGGGAAATAAGCAGGCCACGATCCACGCGCGCTTGGCCCGATTGTCCTGAGTAGGATGATGGAAAGCACGCGCAACGAACTGTTCCCGGATAGCTCGTAAAGAGCTAGAAAGAAGGTTACAGATTAAGACGCTGGAGCCGCAGGGTAGCCCCGGAGGTCGTTCCGGCTTCCGGCAGGAATCCCCGGCGCGCCTCGCTTGAGTTTTTAGCGTGTCTTCAGCGGCCTTTTCTAAGCGTTTCCCAGTACGCGTGCCCAGAAGCACTCCAGAAGGTCCTTCGGAATTTCTCTCCAGGTCTTTCCGGAGTTCTTCGGCAGGCTTTTCTGCGCCCTTCGGGCGCCCTGCTATCTGGGTTTTGGACCCCACAAGTCTGTTGGATGGGCGACGTGACTTTCAAAGTGGACTGAGGGTGCCCTCACGGGGAAGACCGCCTCCCAGAGTTAGCGGCCAGCTGCGCGCGCCAGCAGTCCAGATGCCGCCAGCAGCCGGGCAACGTCGAGCCACCCACCAGTATCTGCCCCTTTGCCCCAGTGCGTCCGAGGGGCGACAATAATGGCCTGGCAGCGCAGGCACCTCTTCGTCCTCCTTGGCGACGGTGCAGCACCGCTCGGTCAGACGCAAAAACGCAGCACGAACACGCATACACACAAGCATAGAAACACACCATGGATACGCCTAATTTCTACGTGTGCTCATATCCTCACACATGTGCAGGGGTCCCAGCCATTTAGGCTCGAGAGCGGCCCAAAGACGTGTGCTCCTGTGAGTAAGCTGCCTCGTTCACCGCGGTGCTAAGTTGCGCGACGAAGGCCCAGAATGCCAGGTGCCCGTCGGTGGGGCAGAAAGAGTGACGAAGGCAGCGTCCCAGTGCAATCTGCGAAGAACAGCGATGCTCACGAAGTTAGCAAGCTACCTCGGTGGGGCAAACCACACGTCGAACATGTCCACCTGCCTGCGGCAAGTTCCGCCACCGTGTAAGCGCAGCACCGTGTGGCGACTGCACGGGCCGTCTCAGGGCGGTCTTGGGCTCCCGTGAGGCTGTCTTGGGGTCCTTTTCTGCCTTTTCGGCACTCTTGGGCCGTCCTGGTGCCGTTTTGGGCCTATTTGGGCCATCTGGGAAGTCTCTGGGTGCTCTCTTGGGGGCCCACTTGTGGCCCTCTTGGGCCCTTTGGGGCCCTTGTGGGCCCGGATTGGGCCGTCGTGGTGCCCTCTTGAAGTTGTCTTGGGCCGTCTGAGGGTGTTCTTCGGGCTCCCACTGAGCTCTGTTGCGTCTCTTTGGCTTTCATGTGCTCTCTTGGAACCGTTTTTGAGCCGGGAGTTCTGGGGAACCGAATTATTCAAAAGCCAGCGGACTCGTTTGGTTGTTCTATAATTTAGGCCGATGGCTTCCTGGTCCTCTCGTCTGTGTCTAGGAAGCCTCTGGAGGTTTTTGGGCTCCTTTCTTTTGTGTCTAGGAAATCTCTGACAGAGTTGGACCATCCTCATGGCTTCGGCGGTCTTCCGTGGGCGTCTTGGAAGTCGCCTTGGAGTGCCTTGGGGAGTGCCCAGGGAGGCGTCAGGGTCGCCCAGGGAGCCTCGGGAGGGGTGGCGGTTCATGCGTGTGAGGGTCACGAGAGGGGAAGGGCCTTCGCAGGACCCCTTCAGATTCGACCTATATGACTCCAATTGGGTTTCGCTGGGTTTGGTCCAGTTCGGTCTCGATTTCCTGGAGATCCGATACGGCGCGATGCTTGCAAGGTGCAGTTGCGAATCCCGGCGCGGCCGATTCACTCCGATTACGGCTTCGTGCCGACGCGGCCCGATCCGACGCACGTTCCGAACCGATCTGATTTCCCGATTCATGCTGGCTGAACCTGGATTGGTTTGAAACCTCACAGGAACTTTACCAGACAGAACTTGTTTTTCTACCACGCCTCAGCGTGCCAGGCGGCACGGCTTGCGGATCTCCTCAGGGCATCCTGTGCTTTGCAACGAATCCGACGGCGCACGCATGATGCCCGCCCATTCTGCCAGACGTGATCGCCAGGTTACGTGTAGGTGGTACGAGAGCGGGCAAAACCATGAAGCCACGTTGAGTTTGCAGGACGAAGTACCTCGCCCGGCATTGTCACCTGCAGCTATTCAGTATCGGCATCATCTCATTGCCAT